ACCACCAGAGACACCTGGCTTTGTATCGTTCCTGAACCATGACTTTTCTTGCTTCAGGCTCAGTCCGAATAGCAAACCTCAATTATCGAGCTTAAGGCAGTTGGTGACCAGTGGAGGGCGCACAAACCACCCCTAGCTTACACAAACAGTCATTAGAGGAAACAGCGCGGTCTACAGCCGTTAATTAATGCATAGAAAACCTGCGGTCGGACATGTATACCCCGACACTTTACATGCCAAAAAGTGCGAGGAAGCTTCCGCAAGGATGATAATCCTAAAGCACAAGGCACAAAACAATATGTTCTGTCAGGCGCCCAAAATTTCCAAGGCCTTCTCAGATATTCTAAGAGACGGCGTGGAGTGACGCACATTCTTTGCCGGTATAGGGTTTGGAAGCTATCTGACCAGGGATGTGAGGTGGATCCTTGCTTAGGATGGCATTTTGTAAGCAAGAGGGCTTTAGGGTCGACGGTTTGATATTTGGGATTCAGGGTTTTGCTCGCGCTCGTGAACCTCTGGGACATGAACTCCTCAAAGTAAATACGTTGCAGTTCGGATAAGAAGAGCGTTTACATTGTTGGCAGGATCCTGTGAAACAATTAATGTTGTGAACACGCTCTGCGCTGATATTCAAAGGTTGCTTTCAAAGCTCGGTTAGCCATTTTCTGGAGGGGAGGTCAGGACACCCCTTAAAATTGCGGGTGACCAGTTGCAAAAAGAGGTGCCCGCCTCGTGTCAGAGCATGCTAACACTGCCAAACCCGGGTTTTTCATAAGGGCTTCGTGATGCTTCGTGCAGGAGCCAGATTCAGAGTTGCTTGTGTTCACCCATGCACTCGTGCTTTTTATTACAAATTCCGCCCTATATGAGGCAACATCCACGCAAGCGTTCCGCTCAAGGTCTTTCTGGTGGCATTCTTGTGAAGGCGCTTGAATTACAGGAGCCCGCACGCACCTTCCACAAGGTTGAGCTACGTTTCCTTCAGTTGCTGCTTAGACTGCTCAGACGTTTGTCATTCAAGCATCTGTCTAGAGTTTACCTCTTGTGTTCCAGACTGAGGTCGGCTTTATACATCAGGCTCTCACCCCAAGTGGTGGCCGCAGCCTTTTGTAGCAACGCTTTTGGCAAGCGCTGCTAAATTCACAGCATTTTGCAAATCCCTTAGGCCAAAGCCACGAAACTGCTGCCCGAAAGCAAGCCCATGCCCTTTACATCTGTCGTGGCATGTTTTGGCGGTTTGAGAAGAAAGCTATACTGCTATGTTTTGAGAAACAGGGTTAGATTGAATGCCTACATACCCAACAGCAGTCACCTTCTATGAGCTGTGGTACACTTCTTGAACGGGCAATGGAGCTGAACTCCACAGCATTACATCATTGCTTCCGGACGCAAGGCTATGTCGTATACCTAGAACTACCAGCCTATTAGACCCTCTGCGCAGCATCCTCTCTTTACCTTGAAGCGCTGGGTAACCACGTCTTGACGTGCGCTCAATAAGTTCATACACCCCGTATGACACCCTTCAGCCTTTGTTCTTGCTGCTGTCCGGTTCAACAGTCTGCGAACCAACCATGGCATGAACGCATCCCTGCCCATGAGCCCATGAGAAAGCCCCACATGTTTCTAGAATACCGTCCATTTCTTGGATTTCTTGGCGCTCAAGAAGGCAGAACAGCTTTAAGTACCTTCATGGTGTAGGCAGCTAAGGCCTCTAAAGACCAACATCTTCACCTCAAGCACCATCCTCGCGCCACAGCAAACCCTAATGGTTTGGGGGCCCAAATTTCAAGTTGCCTGTGGATGCCATGCTCGTTTTGCTGTCAGCCGCATCGAGGCCACCTCGGGCATTTCGTTCGCGGAACACTGTAAGGTTCAGGAGTGAGGGCTTACAGGGTGTAGGAGGTTGAGTATCTGGACGTCAGCGATGTAGAGATTCATCGAAGGTCTCCTCAGGCATTGGCTCCACAGCCTTACTTCGGGCATGGCGTCACAGCAGTGCATGGCCGTCCGACCTTCCAAGACCCAAAACAGAGTCCCGATGGGCCTCAGGATGCTCCAAATCATGACAAGCCTCAGCAAAAGAGATGCTATCGGTACTTTCGATGGTTTCTGAGGGTTTGAGGGTTTTTTTGGTATAGGAGGCCAATGGTGCTGATGATGCTTCGCTAATTTGAAAGCGTTTTTTGGTCGTTGTTGAGGCTTCCCCCAGGCTGCGGAGGCTTTGGGGCATTTTTTTCGGGCCAGCATCATCAGCAGCACAATTGGACATTGACTTCCAGGTTTTGGAGGGGTGTTGAAAACTCATTTGTGTGGTATGAAGAAGGAAGTTGGGGGCCCGAACGAGCCCCATGATGCTCATGATGTTGGCTCTTAGGGGAAATTCCTGCTGCACGCAGTATTTCAGGCTGTACATACTAGCATTGACAGCACTTGCACTGCGTGACAAGCGTCCGAAAGGTGCCCAAACCAAACTCTCAAAACTGTGCATGTTGCATGTTTTTTGCAGTGCTTTGCCCATCTACCGACGATTCAACCTCTCAAATACGTTCATATGTTGATTCTGAGTGAAAGAAAGATACATGTGGTCCAAAACATGGTTAGTCTGCGCAGAAACCATGCTAGAGGCGCTGTGCGATAGTTGGTTCCTTGGGTGTTTAAACCCTCCTGGTCCCGATACTGATGGTTTTTGAGAGATCTTGGGGTTCCCCCGAAACAACTTTAGAATTTTGAACGATGGCTGGGAATGACGTAAAATTGCAGGTTGACAGGGAAACCGCCCACACGCGCGCCTCCTATGCGAGCATCATCAGCACAAGCAGGATTATGTCGTGCTCGCCAGGTACGTGAGCATCGTCAGCACAGTTGGGGCCCGATTTCGGGTCGAAATAGCGACAAGAAGAGCTTAATTTAAGACACTGAGAAACCATCAAAAGTAGCGATAACATCTCTTTTGCGGAGGCCTTTCATGAGTTGGCGCATGCTGAGGCCAATCGGGGCTCCACTTATGGTTCTGAATGGCGGACGACCAGCCACACATGAAGAGCCTCCGGCTCAAACTGCCGACCCCAGGCGCAGTCAGGCCCCTTGCGGTATGACGAGACGGAGAGGAGAGGAAAATTTGTAGCAGATGTTATATAAGGCAGATGGGAAGCAGTTTCACTACAGCCCAGCCAATATTGCAGCAGCAGCACCGCGATCAAATGAACCACATTGTATCATGTTCGAAATTTGGCGTGACTTTGGGGGCCTCGTGTTTGGTGTGTGAGATTGCCGAACCAACTGGTGCAAGCGAGAGAAGTTCAAGGCAGGCAGCTGGGATTCCGCAACACTTTCGGCGCCTGGTTTTTGTAATGTGTGTGTGTGTGTGTGT